ACTGGGCAGACAGCTTTCAATCTGTGAAGTGCTCGCACATTATTCAGACAGCGCATGGAACCGTCTAAAGGCAATATCTAACTTCATCTCCTAATGTTTATCTCAATCGACCCAAATTACAGTTCTATAATTTTAATAAGATTCGCCAATGTGATATGCAAACAGTTCCAAGCATTTGACACAAAACTGTCGATGTAGTTATAGTATCGTTGTGTTTTTAATTTATTCGTGCCCACCACAGCGTATTTAGATCGCCAAACCCGTGTGGGCGGTTTGGTGTGTAATTGTTTTTGTTTCCTGGGATCTGATGTTGTCTCTGTGTTGAACAAAGCATCCCGGTCCTTCAATATTGTTGTCAATCAAAGGCTTATTTAAGTCAAGATCTGGATTCTTGTACCTTGTAGACTTGGTTCGTAAATATTTATTTGGATAATTGATATTTTATGACCATTGTTTTCAAACCTGTGACAAAATCGAGAATATTATTGTTAGACCTTTTGTGTCAGCACTAAACATGGTGGCTTGTCTACGGCAACAGAGGTGGTTCACAACATTGCATTTTATGCACAATTTATACAATTCATTTACATTTTGAAAATTCATTTTTATTTTATAACCCTTTTAATAAACATTTTCGGTTCTGAAAACGATTTTTAAAACCCACTTTCTTCCCTGAAATCTGTTTTATTTTAAAAAACAATTGTTTTAATCCATTTTTGTTTTGAAAATCCGCTTCCATTTTTTAAATCCATTTCGTTTTGAAAATCTATTTTTATTTTTAAAATCCATTTTCACTTTTAAAATCCATTTTCATTTTAACTGTCTTCCGTTGACTTTCCTTTTTCTAACTCAATTATATGAAATAATTTTTGAACGCCATACATGCAGTGTAGCTTCCAAAACCAAAACCAATATGATAGAAATTTTGCATAATATCATGTACCAGTATAATATTTTATTTCAGGTAAAAAATAGAATATTTCACTGTAATCCACTGTAATCAACGCACATTGTACATTGCAGTTATTGTGCTCAGGATTTGTGGACTTTTTCACAATGAGACATTCCTATAAAAGTTGATAAAACTGTTTCCATGAAAATGAAAATACTTTAAGAACCGCATCCACATTTCCCAGATACTTCCCAGCCGAGTAATACAGATCTGATGTAGGTGTTATTTCAATGTCTGCGAATGGTGTTCCATATACGAACCTCTGCAGGTAGACAGCATGTTGCCCACTCTCTGTGAAACAGTTTATTTCGATATGTAATTTATTTTGTATTTCTCAGTGTAAACATTCATACATTGATTATTATTAATTGTAGACGATATGATGTATATACCATATATGGATGATTTAAATTAGTTGACTGCTTACACCATTAATATTTCAAAAATAATCTCACCTTTCGTGCCATATCACGTGATGTAATTACCATCAGAGAGCTTGACAGGCACCGGGCAATTGATATTGCCGTTACTTAGGCAACACATCATTTCAATACGTCCCATCAGTAACTCTTCACACTTAGATTCTTTTAAATTTATTATTTTTAGTACAAATCCTGTAGTCTGTGCTTCTACACTAGATGATACATAGAAATTCTGGTTGACGGAGCCTGTCAGTTCTTTTATGACGTCAATCTCTAAACAATAACGTGTGTTAACAATTTTCTTGGCGGTTCCTAATGTCAGTGTTGGTTTATCGTAAACACTGTCAGTTGACTGTCTTTATTGTGGTATCGCTGCTGCCACGATAGAATCAGTTTGCTTTTTCCTGTGAATAACAATTTGCATTGGGCCTATGTTAGTAGTAGTGTCATCACACATTCTTATATTGTAAATCATGTAAATCATCGCATTCGATAATACCTCGGTAATGATATTATGCCATGGAAAAACTTTTACTTAGTCTGATCAATGTTATAATTTCAAATTCAGGCATTTTTTTTCTTTCTAATTTGAATTATGATTTGCTTTTTACTCGTTGGCAGATACCCATCATAGTTTAACGTGTCGTAAATCAACAGATAACCTTTTTTTCTTCTCGCCCACTCACTGTACAAATACCCTGTACAATACAATAGCCCATGGTACTATAGACCGTAAAGAGGGCGCTGAACAGTATGGTCACAACTATTAAAACAAATGGTTCGAGTAACGCACTTATCAAAACTAGTTTGGGAAAAAGAAAAAAAACACACTAATTGACTGGCTGATGACACGACACTGTTAGTTTTATTTCAAATATGACTTCCTTTGATATCTTTCAATTTATAAAATAAAACATAACACATAGCTCACTTAGCATAACCCAACTACAATTAATGTGCATGACAATGCATTTACGACTGGCATACCATACATCATGATAGGTTGACAATTAAAAAAGGAGCACACTTTATGATAATACGTTATTCTCATGCTAGTATATAACGTCTTATGCATGGTTAATTGCTACAATTCTTGGTATTTATGACTCTGATAGCGATGGAGAATGAGAATTCAATCTGTAATGATCGCCTTTATGCCGGCGTTTCTGAGGCCGACAACGTCACGTATGAAGATTTTGGAAAGCCTGATATACAGAAGCACGAAGTTCAAACTCTTGTTGAAAGCAACTACAGTGTGAAAGTAGAGCGTCTGGAAGAGCTTGTCAGCTGTGTCGATCAGAATTTTCACGTATCTGCAAAATGTACAACCGGGAAAAACGTCGAATTTGTTTTGAAGATATTGTGTTTGAAGAGATCGCAACAACTACAGCCGGTCGAGGGTATGATCAAGTGTATGTTATATCTCAATGACAAGTCTATTCACGCCCCCGTGCCAGTAATACGAGATTCGGGAGATTACGTGACACTGTATAAGACTGGTGAGTAATAATTCATGTCGATTATATATTGCGTTTGTTGTATTATTGCCCTGTATTTATTCAGTGCAGCGTTGGTGTACTTTATTGCGTCCGATAAACTATACCAGTCAGTGGTATATTGAAAAAAACAAACAAAAAACTACCTATTGTGAAAATTTTGTACTTCTATTGTCATATATGTTGACGAAATGGAATAATCGAATATCAGGCTATAATATTAATAAAAAACACATACTGGTTATTATATTGGGTAATTATATCGGCATTTATATTACTGCTCATAATAACATCAATACATAGCGAGAGACCCAGAAAAACTGCATATTTTAATCCCAGTCGTTTGTCCGCAACTCTGAACTCTGAAAACAATTCCTGGATCGAAAACAATTCATGTATCAGAGCGCAAATAGTCGTCAATATTATAGGATAGGCTATAATCGTTTTCTATTGCCCTGAAGTTATAGGTATTGTAAACATTTGTGGGTAGCTCACTTCTAATTTGCATATTTACAAATGATAATGACGCCATTCTCTTAAATAGTACAAACCGGATGTAAATTTACAACCTGCAGGAAGGAAAGTTGTAATAGTTGTCTTGAATGTCGAAGAATGGAAGGGAAAATCGGAAAAGTTGGCTGGAAAATCATAATTCTATATGTGTGAAAGAAATTAACAAATGCAATATAAAATGTGTAATGGAGTCCTTGGAAGGACAAAAAGACAGCAAGGCTGGACGATTGAGAACTTTGAAAGGGGTCGTCGTTTTCTCTGTATTAAAAATCGTCACCCTTTCTGCAAACGTTTCAACCATTCAATATTTCAACTATAGTCGCCTTTCCTGTACTTTTAGTACATCTTAAGACAATTATTTCGAATTGCCAAAATCATTTAGTGTGTTCAGGGAACACTTAAGACTTTCCAGCCGATTTTATAGACTTGTAAATCCTCTCATTATGAATTCCCAGCAACGTTGTTGGCCTATGATGTTCCGGCCAACTTCTATGTTCCAAGCAACTTTTCCACCTTTCCATCTAACTTTACTACAATTTGGCTAATTTATTACGACTTTTCGACCAACTAATACTATCAAACTTTTGAATTATAGAAACTTCAAGACTGTTGTAGCTGCAATTAATAATAACCGAACAAGCAAATATTAGATTAGTAATTAAGAACGTACAATACGCTCGTATTACAGACTCAAGGTATATTTTTGGGATCAACTTTGATACAGAAACGTCCTCAGAACATCCCTGGTGAATGTAGGGACTTGACCTTACATTCCTACTTGCGAAGTTTATACCACGTGTAAGACTCGTCATTGGGTATCGATTTAAGTAGTGTAATGCGTGAAGAATAATAACCTTTTTTTATTTTTTTTCAGATAATGGATATCATGCTGTGTATATGCTGAAATATATAAGTGGAATGCCATACAGTGAAATTATACAACCATCTGCTACAATGAGTTACAATGCAGGTAGTCTACTTGGCCGTATAGATAATGCACTCAAGGTAAGCATATATGACCGTCATCACACAAGTTTACGATAATTCTCACAGCTGTAAATTCTCTATATGTACAGGCGATTTGTCAATTTTTGTCGTTTTGTAACATTTTATAACCGTTCAATTCTGTGTTACCAGTATTGGCCCAAAGCGACCTAGACAATCAAGTGTAAAATAATTTTTGAACGCGCGCCGCAAGACGACGTATGCACCTTAAAATAATCTTCTATTTGAACAACGTTATATGTGAAAACCAATCTATATATATTGTTTATATGTATATGTTAATTGTTTATATGTATATGTATATGTAAATGTATATAGCATTGGATAAACACACACTGTATACTATTATCCTGAACATTCCGACAATAAACACAATGTTCATCTTAATCGATAGGACTTTTACCATAATGGTTTTGAATATGATAATGCTGTGTTTAAGTCAGATGACGTCACGTCTGTGCAAAAGAGTTTATATGTAATCGAGAATGATAAAAGAAGACAGCTGATAGGGGAGGTCATATCTGCGTTCAAAGAACAAGTCATTCCCAATATAGGGAAACTCCGTAAAGGTACTAGTGATACATCTGTTAAGTTGTGAATGTGGTAATTCTTACGAGCAAGGCGGATAACTTTCACATGATGGAGATATTAGGTTAGACCCCAAAAGTACACACCTGAAGTGATCAGAGTTTATTACTAGCAAGCCGGACAACAAGCTTTCAACTTCTGACTCTCTGACTACAATTACAATTGCTTACACACTTCTTAAAAGGTGAAAAGAATAAATATTATCGAGTTACACATAATTTTATCGAACATATGCTAGCTATTATAAAGTAATAGGTACGTCGGCTCGCTACTTCTCTTTAAGAATAATTTTAAAACGTAATGTGTTGCTTTGTTTTCTGGGAAATGTTTACCATCATAAAGGGTAACATTTTGTCAAAATATCAACATACAAAATATAAAACAATGTATGATATAGTCAAATAGTTAGGTGATCTAAAAAAACGACACCTTATTGTTTTTCACTTGTGAGTGGGAAGATTAGAGCTATAAACTTGGCATGTACCAGCAATGCATCTTTGAAAGTGGGAAAAGTGAAGCTTCATATTAAACAATCCAAATATGAGTATGTGTATGCACACATACACAGACTACTGTTTCTGTATCAGCCACCAAAATGTAACGTTGGTTTAGCAAATGTAAATTATATAAAATTAATACTTACGATGTTTTCTGTTCTTCTCCAGGGATAATACATGGGGACTATAATCCATACAATGTAATTGTTTCCAAGAATCGGTTACTACCAAGAACGGATAGTGACAAAAATGTCAATCATGATATTAAAGGCCCAGGTATACTATAAATACGGTCCTAAACAATAGGGATTATTTCCTTGCTTGTCACGCTGTAGTAAACAGCTCCAGCCAAGCCCCGGTAATAGCGCATTTTCTCGAACTTACAGGTCGATTATGTCATGCCAAAGTGGATGCATGTGACTATGAATATCACAGCAGTGACTGTATGTAGTATTTATGACAATAAATTGTGTACGAGCTGAGATTTTGGCGGATAAAAGTCAAAAACTCGAACCGGGGAAAGGGACACGCTACTAATCTGGAATAATTAACTACTGTCAATCAAAGTCACGTGATGTTGGACCACTGAAACAGGGTGCGTCATAGGCTATGCAAGTGATTAACAACACTCATTAGCATAGTCACACCTCCAATTCACACTTGCCCGGGGCAAGTGAATTGGGCCTTTAACGGCATTGTAGACTTTAGCGATACACAATATTCTTACTATGTGAATGAAATTGCCATAGCAATTTCTCATTTCATGATGTGCTGCAACCATGGCGACCCCCTTGCAATAGGGAAAACAGTACTTGCTGGTTATGAATCTAACTTTCGTCTAAACGACATCGAAAGAAAAGTTCTTCAAGTGTTTGTAGCCACGCGTATGGCTAATATAACAGTTCGGGGAACTGAGCAGCTGAATACACAAACTACTGATAATGAATATATTAGAAATGCAATTCAATTATGTTGGGAATGTTTAGAAACATATGGTTACCAGTTACTAAACACACACATCAGTATGTTTGAAGAGTAAGAGCGTATAGGTCATCTTCATTTTACAAAGTAGTCATTAGGCGCGTTCGGAATTTATTCTACTACGTAATTCGTGTGTTTCCTATTTACCGATTGATCCCCAATTTTAAGGCAGCCAATTCTCTTAGCTATATATTTAAATTTGCATGTTTATATCCGAATACACTTCATACAAGTAGTCACAGCACGACCTGATTCCTGATCCTGTAATATTGTTATTATGAATTCGCACATTTGGTTCACATGTGGTTGCAGTATTCTTCAGAATCAACAACTAGCATGTTCATGGTATACATTATAAACACATATAACAGGAATGTTATAAATAGTTAGGCTGATTGTATTTAGCAGTGGCAGCTTTAACACATCACCGGTATTCACGTGATCGTGCCAATGACTGCAGCGATTGGCTTATCGCATGTTTCCTCTGCCACGCCTCAGAGTTTTATGGTAGAAGAATGTCCACAGTATGGACATTTCAATCTGATTCATCCGGACATCTAGCTAACTTGTTCATAGCACGGTGTAATCCTAATGTCACTGAAGTTCTTGCACAATATTTAGCAATATCGAATATGTATAGCATTATTTTAATGTATGGCGTGTATGATAGTAATTGTTGCACAATAGTTGGATATAATACTGGTAGTGTCTGCTGGTGGTTGGACACCGTTGACTATGGACTATTTGACAGTTGATTATTTATGGATATGATGTACTGTGAAGCTGTCAGCATGTAGAGATGTAGGAACAAAGTTTTATTAACACTAATTTATGGATTTGATGTACTGTGAAGCTGTCAGCATGTAGTGATGTAGGAACAAAGTTTTATTAACACTAATTTATGGATATGATGTACTGTGAAGCTGTCACCATGTAGTGATGTAGGAAC